GCTGAAAAGATTATTTCCAGTGCTCTTAAAATACTGATATACAGCAAGCTCTGTTTTGGGCCAGTTGTACAAATTACCCTCAGGTGTTATGCCTCTGGACTGTAGGCATTGCAAAGGTTTTTTTCCAATTTAGACTTGTTTCTGTTCTTCACTAGTTAGTGATCTGAAGTAATATCTACCTAGTTGTCTGCTCGTTGGTCCCAAACCATATCCAAACCCACCAGAAGTAGAGCTTTCCTACACGTGGCTCAGGAATCTGAGCTCTGTTTTTCCCTTCTTCCTCCACAAAAACTGCGGCTTGCAGATTGGGAGCACTCAAGCAAGTCTCAGTTCCTTGCCAGTGCAGCATCTTGAGCTTGCTTTCTCCCTCTCAGCCAGAGACAGGAGTGCTGTCCCGAGGTGAGGGGAGCACAGCACAGGTGGTGTCCTCACCCACAGGGCGCAGTCCTGCAGAGGCAGAGCTGGGTGCTGGGCACAGGCCCCAACCTCAGTCACAGCAAGGGCACAAAGCAGGTCTGGAGTCCATCCAGAGAGGCAGGTGAGGAACAGGAGCAAAGGCTCAAAACCAGCCTAAGGTCCATCCAGCAAACAGGTCCAGACAACAATGAAGGCCAGAGCCAGGACTCAAAACAAGCACACTTACAACAGAGCTTAGAGAGGAAAAAATAACTTGCCCAGACCTGAGCTTAAATGGAGCTACTGGGCCCACGGACTCCACCCTGGGTGTGGGGGGTGGAGGACACAGCTGAAGCTGGTCAGGGCCATTAACACTTGCTGGCACCCTCAGGACCCTGACAGTCCCTACCCAAAGCCTGTCAGTGAGGTCTTTAAGGAAACAGAAATATTCAACTCATCTGAGTCACTGAGTCTGCAGATACAGTGGTGCCCAGCAAGCATCTTCCTTTCTATCAGGTGCAGGTCACTATGTGACCTCTGGTATCACCTGTCTTACTGCAGAAGTGCTGTAGACTTGAAGCATCCAAAAATGTTGGGTTTGGACGTGCACAGTTAACCATGTCTTCCCAGACACAGTGTTTACCAGCAAGGCACAACACAGTCATTCTGCACTCCTGCTTTAGATTGCTCGTGCACAGTCATGCAGTGATGTAAGGGCCAAGATTTCCAGTAAAAATAGGACCACTTGCAGGTCAGGAACATCTGATAGGAAACATTTTAAATAAATGCAGTGGGCCTTTCTAATGGGTATTCAAAGATGAAATCATAGCCCCTTCTGACCTTACTTCATATAAAATGGTGTTAATGCTTAAACTCTCTGTGTTCAGCATGCTTTACAAATGTTTGCCTGTTCTCGGTGCCAATCAGGCAGGTAGATACTATCTACAGAACCAGGGCCAAGGAAGACTAAATGAGTAAGTCATTGTCAAAACCACAATTGGAATTCAAGAGTTTCTGCATTAAACTCATGTTGTTCAAGACTTCTCTTTCAGATACTGCCAACTAACAGTGCTGTGGGTGATTTATCTGATCATCTGTATTACAAACCCGAAGGCATTAACAGGGGTTGGCCTGTGTTCAGCTGGGCTTGCAGGCACAGCACGCAGGTTCCTGGGTCACAGCCTGCGAGCAGGCTGGTCCCCACGTCACCCTGGAGTCCGAAATAACAAATATGAGGGAGACTTTGCAAGGTAGATGCTTTCATCCATGCTTTGTTATCGCACAAGGAGATAGCCCTAATGTCTCAGCATCATGTTTCCACTATGAGGGAGGCAGAGCTAGTCAAGATAGGCCTGGTTAGATCAAATCTGTCCCTTAAGAAAGCAGCTTAGGTATCTTTGCAGTGTGATTCCTGGAGGCTTTGGTTTGTGGAGGGCTTATGTTCAGCAGCAGTTTCTTAGCTTGGGCTGGTGTGCCTGCTGCAGGGTCTGCTCCAGATGACTCTGTAGGACTGATTTAGAGACAGCACACCTAAAGAGTTTTGTTTCCAGGGTCGAGGCCCTGAGGGCACTAATAGGCCTTAACGGACCTGACCAGCTGTACCTGGAGTCTCCACCTACACCCGGTGCCCTCGGGCCCAGCAGCTCGATTTAAGCTCAGCCACAGCTCAGCTATGGGTTGTGTTTAGTGAGAGCCTGGGTTTGGCCTTGTTCAGGAATCCTGAGCCCCCTTTGTTATTTACTTGGATTGTATGTAAGTTTGCTATCTCCTGAGTCTTTAGATCTGCTTCTGACCTATAGATTGGGTTCTTAGTTCAGTTTCAACTCGTCTCTTGGAAGCTGTTTTATTATCTGGACTTGTGCCTGGATGTAGATGCCCCCCTGGGCCTGCCATGTTTACCCTGAGTGTGTACAGTGGGGCTGGGAGCTGCTGGGGGAGGTCCTTGTCCTGCTGGCTGTTGTGTGGGGCTCCCTGTCTCTCAGGGAGCAGCTGCCCCTCACAGCTCCCTGATCTTTACTGCAGACTTGGGCTTTGCCAGAACTGCCTGTAATGCAGAGCTACTCACGGGTTTGTGCACTGTGTTACTTGGTACAATGTTGTTCAATTTTGTTCCTTATGTAGGCAAGTACTGACTTGCATTTTATTCTGGATAAAAACACAGGGAGGGTAGCACTGTGTCAGACCAAAGGTCCACAAGCTTAAAACTTTACTCATGAAAAAAGGCAGTAGCATGTACATAGGAAAGGAGGCTTGGGTAGCATACAAGGCTGTTTCCTCACTGCACTCTTTCAGCTTCAAGTAATGTGTAGCTAAAATAATACTTCTGTATTAATTGGTTTCTGATTAAACTTTCTTCCATTGATTCGTACAACACGTCTGGGCTAAATGATGGGGCTGTTGGGATGTTTTCTGTTCTGTTCTCCCCTTCTCTTGGTAAGGGTTCCAAACACTCCCCTTGAGCACACAGAACAGCTTCCCTGGGTACCTGTCACAGTAATAGGATCTCTAGTTTGAATGGTAGGAGCTAAGACAGAGGCTGTGACTTCCATGTTTCCCTTCACATGCCTCTGTTTGCATTTAGCAAAAGGATTTTATCCATTATTTTGTTGCCCAGACAGTCATTACTGTGAGATCTCTCTAAATAGTTATATTTAGCTTGTCTTAGTAGGCTGAGTATCTTCCTGTTGCCAGGAAAGATTGTCACCTGGTGCTACTTGCTTCCCTTGACATTTCTTAGTGTTGCAAAAGACCACAAGCATGTTATGTGAAAATAGACAGTTGTTCTTGATTGTCTCCTTGCCTTTAGCATGCTTTTAATGGAGCTGTGATTGCACATGTTGGTGCTTGGGTGCTCCTATGAACCTGCTTCTTCTAAACAAACGTTAGCTCTCACTGCTTTTTGCTTTCTCTGAAGTTCTTAGTTTCTTGTTCTGTGTTTTGTTCAAACCCACAACTTCCAACTTATTACTCTCCTCCCAAGAAACACACTTAGCTTATATGGAGTTTTATCATCAAGTTCCTGTTCCTTCAGCTTCTGCCTTGTGCGGCACTTTCAGAGCAATAGCTCTTTTGCCTCTCAAATCACCTGTTATTTTATCTTGTAAAACAGCTTGTGTTACCCCATGTAGCACGGCAAGTCTTTGGGATGACAATCTTGATGTCCACCCCATAGAAAAGCAGCTTTTTCAGATTGAGGAGTAGAGAGTGTTACACCCAGCAAAGAGAGCTGGTGCATTGCTGGAATCACCTGCCACTGAGAGCTGATGAGGCAAGTGTTGAAAATTCAGGAGTCTGTGGTGTAGGTTTCACCTTGATGCATCTGAAGTGTCTGAGCTTGGCTGAGATTCCCAGACTATTCCTCTTTCGTTTCAAGGACATACAGGAGAGGAGAGAAGCGATGGAGGTACAAATTGGTGATGGGCTACCTTACCCAAGGCCACTGAAGGGCAACAGTGACAATAAGCTGTGCAGATCTGTGCCCCTCCTTCTCCTTTAACACATGTCCCTTAAACCAGCCAAGCACTGGTATTTAAAACATGTCTAGGAATGGATGTGGACAGCACTGCTCCTTCTATGCAGCAGAAAAGCCTCTCTGCATGTTCGAATTTGAATGGGTTGGGTCACACTTGAAGTGCTTTATATTGCAACAGCTACAGACTTAATATTAATGAAGCTGTTCTAAAAAAGTACTGCTTGGGTGTATTGTTTCACAGATCCCATTTCCAACATCTGTTTTTCAGTCTGTTAGATTTGGTTGCCTGCTTTCCACTCTGACAGAGGGCTGTAATGATAACGAGTGGTGGAAGAAGGCTGGGCTGACTCTTCCTCTTACTATACCATTTTACTCGCCCGATTCCCTCTGGGAAGGAGCAGCAAATATCATCAGTGGCTCTTAATGGATGAGGTGGGGGATGGGGAGAGAGCAAGGCTCATTATATTTTTTCTCCTTGCAGGAGGGAGAGGTTGGCTTGGCAGCTCTTCTTCCTCTGCCACCATCTTCCCCACGCTCCTGCGTGTGCTTGCTCTGAGCGTGGGATGGCCGGGCCCTGAGGGATGCTGGTGTTTGAGGGTCCTCCTGGGTTGCACATGTATTGACAGGGAGGTTTGGCCCCGGGCGAGCCCCTTGCCCGTCACGGCTCACCAGAGTCTTCCCTCTTCCCGCCTATAAAGAACAGGGATGATCTCAGTGCCACCTCCGTGGCTGATCGAGAGGTGTGCGGTGTCGAACCGCAGCCTCCGCAAGTAACGGAATAATTCGCCTTTTCTCTCATTACCCTCACTTTATTTATTTCATTGTTGCTGTTGTCAAATAACGCGCGGCGTTCCCGGCCTGGCACTCCCACGGCGGCTCTCGTGGGCAGCCGGGCGGGCACCGCGCCGTGCCCGGGGCCTCTCCGGGTCCCCCCGCGGCGCGGGGGCGTGGGTAGGGGGGCGGGGGGCGGCGAATCCCGCTCCGGCCGCGGGGATCCAGGGCGCGTTTTGCCGCCTGCCGGGAGGGCTCGGTGCGGCGAGCGCCCCGCCGGGCCGCCCCCTCCCCGCTCCCTCCCGGAGGGTCCGGCCAGGGGCGCCGCCGCCGCCCAGAGCACGTTTCGCGGCCCGGGGCTCCTCTGCCGCCTGGGCTCGTCGCGCCATGGGAGCCGCCGGCCCGCGGGGGCCCGGGCCGTGACCCGAGCCATGCCAGCATCGCCCCTTCCTGTGAGCCGCGGGCTGGCCGCGCCGCAGCCCTGGTACGTGTGCGGGACGGGTCCTGGGGCTGCCGCGGGCGGGGGGGGACGGCGGGGATCTCTACTATCGGACCCCCCTCGTTTTTTTCTTCTTTTTGTTTTCCCTCTCTTTCCCCCCTCCCGTAGCTGCCTGGCTAATTGCAAAGTTGAGCTGGGGTGGAGCGGCGAGGGGGAGGCAGGGGCACCGCGGGTCGGGCCGTTCCGAGGCGGGCAGGCTGGGGGTTATTCAAATGCAAAACGTAGTCTCTTGGCCGAAAAAGCGAAAAAGTCCGGTCTCCCTGACTGTGCTGGAGCGTGTTTGCGCTGCAGCCAGAGCCTGCCTGGAAAAACCCGCCAGGCAAGAGAAGCTGCCTGCAGCCTGCGCGGAGGGCAGGGAACAATTAAAAGGGTCCCTGCCCGGCCGTAGGGCCCCCGGCCAGCCGGAAAAACCCCGCAGCCCACCCCCACCATAAAAGCGGCGAGCGAGGGCCGTGCAGCAGCATCTTCCCTGTGGAAGTGCTGCTGGTGTGCGGGGCTCCGGGAGCATCCCCGGGGTGGCTCCCCGCCTTTGCTGCGGGAGAAGCCGGACGCGTCCGGGTGGGCGCTGCGGGTCCCTGGCGATGCTTCTGAGCTCGGTCCCATTGTCTGCGGCCCCGGGGAGGGCTCCCGGGGCTGGGGGGGCACGGCCAGCGGCGGGGCCGGGCCACGAGGAGCCGCTGCCTCGCACCCAGGAGGGCCCTGCCTGCCCCTTCCCCTCCCTGCTTGGGGTCTGCCTGCCTGCACTAAGGGGACCACAGCCCGCCGGGGCTGTAGCCCCGCGGGCGCTCCTGGGCTGAGCGCCTGTCCAGCTGCTCTTGGAGCTGGAGGAGAAGAGGTGATGGTCTTATGGCAACCGGAGGTTTGGTGCTGCGGGGATGATCCCGCAGCCCGTGATGGAGCCAGGGAAGAAGAGTGCGGGTCGCCGAAGGGGTAAGGAGAAGGGCCGAAGCGGCTGCGGGGAGGCAGGAGCAGCGGACCTTACGAAGGTCTGGCTGCTGGTGCCCGAGCAGTGCCACGGGCTGCCTTTGCGGAGGGACCAGGCGCAGCAGCAGTCAAAGGAGTCGCGCCAGTCGGGTGCCCAGCCTGTCCTCCACTCAGCCAGCCTATCGTGCTGCACCCCAAAGATATTTAAAGAGCAACGTAGTCCGCATCACTTGTATCTCGGCCTGTGTAGCAGCTGCCCAGGGTGGTGAGACGCTATTCCTTTAAGGAGAAGAGGGGAATGTGCGATGGGCATCTGGAGCAAGGCAGGAGCACACCGATGTCGGCGCATACCCTGGAGTGAGGAGGGCAAACAAGCTGGCCACGGGGGCTGCACCAGCGTGGATGTGGCCGAAGGGCTCTTGTTCTAGAAACTATAATACAGTGATGTCAAAAGTGGGCAAAGATTGCAGTGTTAGGTATTTAAACGTGACCGAGCAGACTTCTAGGGTAAAGGTCTCTTTAAAATTAAAAGACAATAGAAAAACTTGTGAAAATAATAATAATAAGGCCTTTATTTCCAATTAATAATACTTTTTCCCAGCTGTGCTCAGTGCTTTTTAAGGTACTCTTGTGGAGAAGGTTATTCTGTTCTGGGAACTGGGAAAACTTCATGTTTAGTCTTGGTCTGGGCCAAATGGGGCAAGTTGCCTGGTGTACCTGAACTGTAAAGGAGAAGAAAGCTGGTTTATGCTTTTCAGAGGCTGTTTCTCCAGCAGCACAAGGTGTGTGTGTGGGGTGGGGGGAGGTTGCTCTTGGGATGAGGCTCCGTCCCTCTGGACAAGAGAGGTTTGTTGTGAGGAGACAAGGGCAGGCTGGGTTGCACAAAGCAGGTAATAGGGGAAGAATTCAAGGTGAGAGGTACCAATGAACTTTGATATTTATGGTTTCTGTAAGATCTAATTTTTCCCTGGGTAGTAATTCAAAATCCCCACTGATAGTGTTTTATTATGACTGGCATGAGACCCTGGCTGTTAAAGCTGGCCTAAGCACTTCCATCCTGCTTTCTGTTTTCAGATGCTTAAAATTTCAAAACACCTTTCAGGCTGAAATTTTCCAGGCTTAATCTTTGCCTGAAGGTTCTTCCCTCCACCTCCCCCTTCTTTTAACTGAGTTTGAGATAAGGTGATTCAGTTAGTGGTGCTGATTTTTTTTTTTTAAAGAAAAGGCAACCCCCCCGAAGAATGAAGTCATAATATCAAAAAGAAATGCAGTGCTTTAAACAACATAAATGTGGAATTGGAGAGGCATATGACTAGCCAGGGTGTTCTGTTTGTTTTGCTTGCCTGTGTTTTTTTGTATTCAAAAGTACCTGACGTGTTCTGGTGGAAGGAGCGTTCTTTTGGTGAGGCTTTAGAACTGACTTTATATCTCCTCACTCTTTAGTGTTCCCTTTGGCTGCAACTGCACAGAGATTAAAGCAAGCCCGTGCTCCTGCCTGGCTGCAGGGAGGATACTTGCACATGTGGTGTGAGTCTTCACAATGGATATTTGGTGTGAGTTGTTTGTCTGAGGCTTAATCTGATTTTTGTGGTTTAAGTGTGTGTGCTTCCTTGCCACACTTCTTTTTTTCTTTTCTTTTCTTTTCTTTCTTTTTTTTTTTTTTTTTTTAAGTGTCCCAATAGAGCCTTCCCTAAACCAGGAGGGCTCTTTTTTTGTGGTACGGTATTTTTTTATCTGTGTTACTCACTGTGCAGGCTCCAAGGTGCATGAAGTCATGACACTGCAGAATGCTAACCGGGCCATCTCTTGCTGGATTCACGGCAGGGAGGGGCCCTGCCTTGTCCTCCGGGCACGAGGGGGCTTCAGGGCCAGTGAGGACAGACATTTAGGATGAAGGCCGTGGTGCTTGGTCTGCTCAGCGTCATCCTGTGGTGCTGATGTCAGTGAGGAAAGGGTTGTGTGCCTTTGTCTGTGAGAAGCTTAGGGGGCATCCTGCAGTGCCTGTCCCACGTCTGTAGTTGTGCTGCTGGAAAGTGTTGGCTTAAGTAAAGGTTTAATATATGTGGATGAAATATATCTGGTTGCATTAATAGTGGCACCATCCTGTAAGGTAAAGCAGCAAACCTCTGTGTAGTAAAATGGATGGGGAGGCCTCTGTGGAAGAACTGTGTATGAAATAACTCATGGTACTGAAATGGCAGATGAGAAGTTTCATTTTTATTTCTTAACCAAAACTAAATGAGTATTCAAGGATTAAAGAAGGGGGAAAGGGAAAACTAAAGCTAATTCTCCTAACCCATTTCCCTTTTCACATACGAAGTGTTGCACAGAGCAGTGAGTAGGTGCAGGGAACTGGGCTCAGTGGAAAAGAAGGCTGGCTTTGGTGCAGCTGGGAAGAACATGCAGGTGATAGGACGTGATCCTGAAAGACTGAAAAAAGCTTTTGCACCTAAACATGAGGGGCAGATTTTCTTAACGACTTTCTTCTCTGGTGTCTTTTGCTTCTTCCTCTGGAGCATTTGCTACCAGAAAATGAGGTGCTTCTCAATTCTAAGTTGTAGATCTGAGCTCGTGGAGAACTTTAATCACATTGTGGCCCTTATTGCCTTAACCTGTGTATTATGGCTTTTTTGAAAACTTCCAGGTCTTGTTTCCCCTAAGGCACAGTTTCAGGGAACTTTTAAAAAGATACCTACCTAAACACTGGAACAAAATGTATGTAATGAGTGCATTTGACTGTAGTGAAACCAGGTGACCAGTGAAACTAGTGCCTGTTGGCTGTGTCACTTTTTTAGTCCTGTTTGTTCAGGGGTCACCTGCCATCTTTCATGATGCCATAAAAAAGCTCCTACCATTTTTTATGAGGACACATCTTTTATCTTTTAACCCCCCCTCATCTTCTAATAAGAATCAAGTTACATAACAGAACCTTGGTTGACACTGCCTCTAGAATGAAAACTTGCTTTATTGATTTTTTATTCTTTTGTGTAAAATGAAAGGGTTTTTTGTTGTTGTTTTTTTTTCCTTTTTTGTTTTTTTGTTTGTTTGTGGGGGGTTTTTTTTGTGTGTTTTTTTTGGGTTTTTTTACCCCCTGGAGGCATTCCAGCAGTATAAACTTAAATTCCCTAATTACTTTCTAGACAAAATTCTCATTATAATTGTTTGGAATTGTGACCAAAACCAAGACTAAAAGATTTAGCCTTTGATTAGCTTTTTAGTAGTATTTGTTGAGGATTATAGCAGTCAGTGGAATTGTTCCATGTTTATTACCGTGAAGGAGCAAAACTCAAGCAACTGGCCTTAAAACCAGCTTTCATTTCAGCTTTGCACATGACTTAGAGGAGCTAAGTGGGCTCAAGTAACAAGCAGCTTTGGGATGCCCTGGTGTTATCTGGGGCAGTTCCTGCAGACCCCCTGGACCTGTCACCCCTCCTAGAGACGCCTGTGTCCCCTCTCAGGGAGGGCACGGCAGGGCCACCTGCTTTGGCTGGCAGGAGAAAGCATCCAAGGCAGGTTGTTCTCCTCCAAGATGATAGAAAAACGCCAGCCATGAGCCTCGTGTTTTATAATCCTGTTTTTCCACATAGATATTTTGGGAATATAATTAATTCCTTGCTATGGAATATGACTGATACGTAAATAAAGCCATTTGTTGTCCTTAAGAAGTCACATGAGACAATTTGTAACTGCTGCAGATATCAACAAAATAATTAGAATGGACAAGGGAAGGTAGAATATTTCCTAGTGTAGCAGAAAACAAAACTTGAATACCAAGCTTGTGTTGACCTAATAATTTGGTCCTGCTTGTGGAAGAGTAAACAAAGAAATAGCAATGTAATTTAGACAAGTTACTTAAAAGATGTTAGACTGCTTTTGTCTAGCTGTTAAGGTGGTTGTGGCAGACTAGTTTTTATCAAGACCGTGGGCTTTTTTAAAGGGGAGCAGAGATCTTTTGCTGACAGGCATTTCTTCCAAGAGCTGACAGTCACCTTGTGGATGAATGCTCGGATTCCCGGACAAATATAGCTAAAGTCAAGTATTAATAGAAGGAAAAAAAAAAAAGGAACACCCCCCTCAAATATTTAAAAAAAGTCTTTTAGAGGTTTGTTCAGGTCTCTTCTGAAAAACCTGAAGTCACTCCAGTGACAAAATTAAAACAAAATGCATAAAACTGTTGCCACTGTGCCCCTGTATTGTCATCTCTGAGTATGACAAAACCTTTGCCATCTTTTATAACACAAGCAGGCAATTTCCTGCAAATATCAGCATTCTTTGCTTAGCAAGCAAAAGGGAAATCTTCATCCCCTCTGATAGCATCTAATTTTGGCCCTGGAAAGAAGCAATGCTTTGGAGATGTTAGTTTTCTACACTCTTGCCAGACAGGTTTGTTTCTCTGTGTTAAAAAAACCCAACCCAAACCACTAAATCAAAACCAACCAAACCAAAAAGCCCAGGATGATCTTGCTACTTCAGTCCTGAAGCAACCATTTTGCAACTTTCAAATCATGCACTCATGGAATGGTTTGGGTCAGAAGGGACCTTAAAGATTGATGTGTTCCAACCCCCTGCCATGGGCAGGGACACCTTCCACTAGCCCAGGTTGCTCCAAGCCCTGTCCAACCTGGCCTTGGACACTTCCAGGGATCCAGGGGCAGCCACAGCTGCTCTGGGCAACCTGTGCCAGGGCCTCCCCACCCTCACAGGGAAGGATTTCTTCCCAATATCCCATCTAACCCTGCACTCCTTCAGCTTGAAGCCATTTGCCCTTGTCTTATCACTGTCCAAATGCAGTTAAAGACATACTATCATGTACTTGTAATAATTTTTAAAAACCACAAGACTGTTATAAATTAAGCTTCTGTTTGATAATTTTGATGGTCATGTTTCCACAACAGCAGCAACAACTGCTTATGCAGAGAAGCAATATGAGCAAGACATTATATGCATTCAGTATTCTCAAAAATCCCACTGTTGTTTCCATTCCAGCCCTCCTGTATTCTCTGGTCACCCTCCTTCTGCTCCAGGGCTGATGAAGACAAAAGCCTTTATCTCTTCAGTCCCCCTCCTGATTCACACATTCCCCTGTTGCCTGGCCTTTGTTGTTGTTTCCTTGCTCTCCTGGTGGGTTTCCTGGGCTGCCACTGTTGTGTAGCTCAGCCACAGATGTTGCTTGTGCAGCCCTCCAGGCCATCCTTTGGAATGAGGAGACCACAAGAAACTGGGGAGGCTTTTTGGAGCTGCCACCAAGTATTTCATGGGGCTGCTGATGTGATGCTGATGCTCTTTCTGGTTCATGGATGACCAGTAATGGCCATGTCCCCCTTCCCCCATGTGTCTGCAGAGAAGGGTAGGGGAAGGAGAGTACTCAGATCACCTGCAGTGCAGTGTTGGATTGGATTTACTATGTCAGCATCTGACCCTACTTTTATGGAGTGCTTCTGTGGGAGCTGTTCAGGTCTCTTCTGTGACCTCTGAACCTTTGCCCACAACTATAAACAATTGCACGTGTCTCCTTGGTCTCTGCAGATTGGATGTTTTGCTGTGATGGAGGAGGGCTGCTGTCCAGCTTGTCTGCCGTGTGTTTGGTGGGCATTGTTTTCTGCTCTGATCTTATAAGGGTGTTTAGCCTTGCCTTGTACAGTAGTGCTGGCTCTGAAATGGTATCTGTGTGAAAACCTGCTGTCTCAGTAATCACTTTCATCTGATATGTGGGTATCACCCTGTGGCCGGTGGGCTGCTTGCTCAGGGCTGGGACAGCCAGCAACAAACACTTGCTAAAGTAAGCTGGTGGCCCTGTGTGTTGGCTGTGCCAGCCCAGCCCATCCCCTCAGCAGGACAGTGAGCTTCTCTCGGTGCAGGACTGTTTGATTTGGGCATAAGGAATCCAAAGGAATGATGGCAAAGGGAAGGCACCCTCCTGCCTGAGACTACAGAGCCTCTGGCTCTGCCTGCTCCCCTTTTTAGGCTGCCCTTGTCTACCCATCTGATCTACTCCAACAGCTAATAAAGCTTTAAAACCCTTCCACAGGTACTTAAAAGGCACCATGTGCTTTAAAATATGTACTTGTGAGAATTGCTTTACTTTAAAAAAAACAACCCAACTCACCTTGAAGGAAAGTGATTTGGAGGGCAAGGACTGTTGTATCTTCTGAGATGATTCAGTTGTATTTGGGAAACTGGGGGACTTGTGCATTGCAGTTATGTTTGGGGGCAAAACCTTGGGACAGATGTGTGGTGGTTTTTTTGAAGGTAAATAATTTGGTCATAGCAATGGAACAGAGTCAAGGGCAGGGGTGGTTAATGAACTGTTAATGAAGTTGAGAACTTAGAACTGTCATAAAGCAGTGAATGTGATGCTTCCTGGTCATTTGAGCTCCATTTATTTCTTTGTGTTAAAGGCCTTTGCAGTATACTAATATCTTCAGGGCTTTTGTGTGAATTGAACATAACGTCCAATACTGATATTTCTGATTCTTCCTCTCTATTTTTGAATATTAAAAATGACCAATGTAATATATGTGCACCTTTTATTAAATACAATCATATTAATGTTATTTTATCTCTTTTTCTGTTTCAGAGTTGGTGCTGTATCAGCACAGAGAGCAGCAATGGGAGTGTGCAGTTTTCTGTTGAAAAGGTCTCTCAAGAGCTCATGATTCTTTTTCCACTTCTCCCCTTAACATTCCTACTGCTCCCCAGACATGGCTCACCACGCGAGGCCTTCCAGATCAGTCAAAAAAGAAGAGCTGGGCAAAAGGAAAACTAACCAGGGCAAAAAGAAATCTAGCCAAGTGAGAAAGAAAACCTCAAAGACTTCCACGAAAGCTGTCAGTTCTGGAAAAGGCAAAAAGCCGGCGCAAGAAAAAGATGTTAAGAAAAAAAACCAGCAAGAAAAGAAACCAATCATGAGCTCTTCAGGTAGACTTCTCAGGAGCAGTGTAACCAGAACCTTGTCTGGAGCGTCTTGGGTGAGTTTGGAGAAAGCTGACAGTATCCTCTTTGACAGCCAGGATTCTTTCAACATCAATGGCTTTACAATGTCCCTCCGTAACCGACCCTTCTCCCCTAGATTGTCCCAAACTCCAGTGATTGCAAAACCCAAGAAATCTGCAGTCCAGAAAAGGCTGGAAACAAAGGAAAACCATGAGCAAGGAGCCCTGGCAGAAGTAGAAGAGAAAAATGATGAAACAGACGAAGTGGTTTTGAAACAAGATTTAGCCCAAGATGAGTTGGCTGCTCTGCCAGTAGAAGGTTCTCCCTGGAGTACCGGTGAAGGGCCTGCTGTCCCGTGTGCCAGTCAGGACAAGGAGGTAGAAATATCTGAAACAAATGACACTGCTCCAAACAGTTGGGTAACTGATGGTATGGAAGCATCAGGGGTGATATCTAAGCTTGAAGGTCTGCCCTGTGAGCAGATACCCAGTGCTCTTGACATGGGTACTTTGGCTGAAGCATTTGTTGATGGTGCTGTGCTTGTGCTTCCAACTTTTCCTTCCGACTCCACAATCACCTCTGAATCCGAGGTGTGTGGGGAGACTCCCTTCGATGTGGTGCCCAGCAGTGAAGAGCCTGACCCCAGCTCTGCTGATACCTCAGACCTCAGCTCAGCAGTACTGGCACAAGAGTCAGTCACTCTTGCCACATGCCACATTGAAGCAGAGTTGAACCTGGTGCTACCTAGTGAAGAACAAGGCTCCAATTCTGCAGCTATAGTTACCTCGGAGTTTAACTCACAAGATTTACTAGAAGATGCAAGGTCGCTTGCAGAGTCCTGCTTAAAGGCAGGCTGGGGTTTCGAATCTGAGAATAAAGACATTGGTTCAAATTCCAGCTCTGTAGCTACCACTGAATCAAATTTGCTTTTACATTTTGAAGGTGCAAGCTCACTTGCAGAATCCCCCATGAGACTGGTTGTGGATTTTGTACCCATTCCCAAAGAATTTGACCCAAATTCAGATTTGAGCTGTACGAGAGAAAAGTCAGAGTTTGACACAAAAAACATATTTACAGTATGTGAATCGGTCTCCAACGCCTCTTTAAACAATATTGAAGTGGAGGACATAGAACAGCTTGTTAAATGTATCGATGCAGAGACATTCATTTTGAATTCATGTTATGTCCCCGCTTTATCTTCAGATTTAGAAAAAAGCACAGTCAATGAAATACCTGGTGAAAGCTCCGGACAGTTCTGTGAAGGTTTTGTTTCGGAGTTGCCTTCAAGGCTGGAAATCTCTGCTCTTGCCTCAGAAAAAGCCATAAATGCAGATTTGCCAGCTGACTCAAGACTGCAGCATAATGATTATTCATCACAGCTGGGAAGTGTCGGAGTAAGCCTGAATCTGGTTCAGGACAACGTGAGCAACAGCACTGAAGCAGCTGAGGCCTCAGGGCCATCCTCTCTTAAAAATCCAGCTGGTGGTTGCCCTGCTCCATATTCATCTCTGCTCCCTGTGCTGGAGAAGAAGAAGCGAAGGCGCTGTGGAGTGTGTGAGCCGTGCCTGCGCAAGACCAACTGCGAGGAGTGCAGCTGCTGCAGGAAGCGCAAAACCAGCCACCGGATATGTAAGAAGAGAAAATGTGAAGAACTGAAAAAGCCGCCACCGCCACCAGTCGCGCTGCCTTTCGAGGTGAGCCAGGGGAGTGGCGACTCAAGGCACTCTTTGGAGGCCTGAGGTTCACCTTCATGTTCTACCCTGGGAAATGCTGTCCCCACTGTACAGCTCTGGAGGGTTCAGGGTTACTGTTGGAGCCAACAGGTTGTACAGTAACTTCCCCTTGTCATCTGGAGAGGTGTAGCTTAGGGTTATTCTCGTTCTGGATATAGCTGGAGTTATTCTCATTCCTGCTTTGTAGATCCATAGAATCAGAGGTAAGTATGGCTTTAGCTCTGTGTTCAGGATATTGGCACGTTGGCCAAACAGTGAATTAATTGGAGGGCATGAAGAGATGAGAGATTTGAGCACAAAGTGTGGGGAGGAGGGAGATTGAGGGGAGTCCTAGGAGACTGAATTACTAGAGAGAGTGGTGGTAATTCAAAATACTTCAGGCTAAAAAGCGAAGGAAGGCAGTCTGTTTGCTCTTTGCTTCAGTTAAAACAATTTGCTTGTGATGGCAGATTTGATGGAAATAAATTTATAAACTTCAGGATGAAATTGTAGCTGCATTTTCTCCTTTCGCATCTTTCTGCCTTTCTAATTGTCTGTTCTTCTGTTTCTCTCATTTCACTTCTTTTGCCTCTCTCCCTTTGTCTTCTACCACATGCCCCATGCATACTCTTTTTCTGTGTTTCTTCCTCATTTTTCTCATCCATCAACCTTTTATAACCCAGGTCATTACTTTTGGAACAAAGAGGAGGGGAAAAGACAGTCTGTATGCCCTTGTGATAACAGCACTGACCTTCTGAGGGATTTCAGTTCAAGATCAGGCTTTAAATCAGGTAAGTAGGGAGTTGAGCGTAGATTTCCCACATCCCAACTGAAATTCCCTGAGCTCTGAGCTCACTGTTGGCAGTGTTAGCCTCTGCACTGCCAGGTCCTGCTGCTTCATGTGATCCAATCCTACCTGAACCTCAGAGGGGGAGAGGCTGTCTTGGGAGTTAAATCACTGGGACATTTGCCTTGGGATGTGGGAAACTGAGGTTCAGGTCTCTGCACCAGCGTGTACTGTGAGTGGAGCAGCTCACACTGGGGAGAATGCACCTGCCAGACCTTTCTTGGTAGCAATTCCATTAAAGTGGTGTGTTCTTGCAGCAGATAGGAATTCCCATCAGCTGCAGAGATCTCAGGAGAGCTCCTGGTCTCACTGCTCTGGCCTGTGCTTTCCAGGGTTGGCTGTTCTGGTTTTAAGGTAGGCAAGTAGAAAGAAGAGTCCTACAGCAGTGAAGGGATATGGTACATTCCTCTTTGTGGGGGAAGTATATTTTAGGATGTAATGTTTAGGGAAGTAGGCTTAAACAGCTTGGCTCAGAATTCATTCAAAAATCTCTCTCTGTCTCAACTGCTCCTAAATGCTCTTAAAAAAAAAAAAAAAAAGGCAGGGGAGGGGAGGGACAGCTGTGTGACTTAAGATAGATATTAAAACAGTGAAGGTGGTAGAGACTTAGCCTGACTTTTTACAGCAAAGGAGTAGTGGCATTATGTCCTTTTGTATATTTAGTCAGTAGGACTGAAGAAGCTCATGGGAGGGAATTGGTGGAGTTGAGGTAGGAAGTGTTCTAAAAGCCATGTTTTAAAAAGGGTTTTGGCAGGGTTGTTGAAAGGAAGCACTCCAGCTTTTCTGTCAACCTTTGTTTTCCAGGCTAAACATACTTCTTTTCTTGTTGCTCAGGCTGACCTTCTCCTTGCAGATTAGCTTTGCCCCTTCACCTTTGTCCTCTCTGGGCACTCCTTTTGCTTTCTTTATGAGAGATTCCTTGTTTTTATTCTTTTCTTTGGCAGCTTTTATTTTGATGCGCTTTTATTTTATTGGACTGGTCACATTCTGTACAGTGCATGCAGAGCTGCACCAGAGGCCTCCTTCTCTCGTTAAATCTTGTATGAAGTTTCAGGGAACTGCATGGAGGAAATGAACTATTCCTGACATTTAAGAACATGTCAGGTATTTTCTTATAAAACTGTATTTGAGTGAAACCTGGTGCCTTTTCAGATATTCCTAGAAAGAAACTTTGCCTCATTTCTAAACTCCAGAAACTGTACTCTGAGAAAATGAGAGCAAAGTATTTCTACGATGTTACGTGAGCTCTTTAAAGATGTTGAGATCCAGGGGGAGGTGTTGGGGGATGGGGAACACTCTGGCACTCTGTTCATCAGCTGTCCTTTGGATAAGATTGCAGGGAATCCCATTGTGTTATCCCAAACTGGTAGCACTGGGACTTGTGTGACAGTAATGAAGGCAGCTGGGGAAAACCCCAAACTGTGGGTCTCTGTCCATGGTATAGAAGGTGAACATAAATCATCCAGAGAAATGGGGTTGGCTTCAGTGTGTTCCTTGCTCAGGAGAGTCATGCATCTTTCTCATGGTGGTGGAATGTGAGCATTTTTTGGAGGTGATTCACTGGGAGGAGAGTGTAGGGGATGGACGTGCTCTGCGTGAACACAGTTTAAATGTTGGTGTTTTGCCTTAAAGGGAATTATCTCTTGTCATTCTAACTTAAAAATGTACAAGTCCCAGTGAAGTCGGTGAGAACTCTGCATTAAATGGCTGTATAGCCACTGCAGGGGTTGGCAATGCACACATGCTGCTTATGAAAGTGTTGCTTTTCCTTGAGGACTTCCATGGATTTACAGTTCTAGGGAGTAAGGGCTGGCTGGTAGGAGCTGTGCTTGTAAACTGAAGGGTGTATTCCAACCCCCCTGCCCGTGTGTGCACAGGCATTCCACCCTCAGAGAGTATCAGTTGTGTTTGGAGCTCCTATTGGGTGACTGTTATTTCCATTAATTCACACATAATCCAGATGAAGATTTGAAAACTGTATTGGACCTGAAAAATATCATTTAAAAATAACATCCCTGTAGACCTTCAGTGATATTTTACCTTCCTGAATGTAATGGGTTTTGCAGGGACGTGACATCATGAAAGTTTGGATCAAGTATTGTGGGCTCCAGTTCCCAGCTCCTGTGTGTGGCAATATTGTTCCATGAAATGCCCCTTCTTCCTGAGGGGTTTGCACCGGGGCTGTTTGGGGAGGAGTTGGTAAAGAAAAACCCCCGAAATATAGGAGGGAAAACATTATTGTTTTGCTTATTGAAACTTTTTGAAAGAGCAGCCTAGTAGATGTAAGCAGGGCAGAGAGCACGTGCTGGGGGGAGCTTTAGTTTGTGTGAGGTAATTGTTGGATTTAGTGGGACCTGTAGTCAACAAACTGACAAAAAAGCATCAGGCCCCTGAGTGTGAGTTTGCTGGGTTGCCCAAGGTGTCTCGAGACATCTTATTTAATAGCTGTAATCTGAGTAACATGGGATATTAAATAACAATAAGGGCCTGCCTGCTTGTGGGTTTTTAGCACGCTGCCCAAACCCAGACATATTTAAAAAGGATGCTGCAATTCAAGTTGGTTGGGAACTTTCCAGTCAACTATTCCTTGAATGGAAAATGCTGATTTAACGGGAAGCTTTCGCGGCTACTATCTCGTCCCGATGAAGCTACCTTTGGGGGAAGCTTCCCAAGGTTCCAAACTAAATTCCTGCTTAAAACTTAAAAAGGGGAGGAGAATTATTAGAACAGCTTGGTGGTAAGGGCTTTTTGCCTGATGCAGACCAGGGGCTTGAACTTTGGTCTCCCACATTCCATCTGTCTGCTCTTGACTTTTTTTTTAAGGGTTTTGCTTTGCTTTGGAACACAACTAACTGTTGAAATCCAGAAAAAAGACCAAAAAACCCAAACAAGCGAAAAACAAAAAGCAAAATGGAATTCTTGTTTTTCAGCCAGGCCTAGCTATAATGAAGAAATTTAGGCTTTGTGGTATTTATTTTACAATAGACTCCAGAAATATGGAAGCCACTTGAATTTTAAAATGAGTGCGTAGAAACACTCCTGGAGTGTGGCTCTTGAGTTGAAGGGGGAGCACCAGCTGGGGGAGTTGGAGGTGTGTGATGAGCGGAGCTGCACAGGGCAGGGCAGGGAGCTGCAGTAAGGCAGTCTGCTCTTGCTTTACACACACACTGTGGGGGTGGAAAATAATTGACTTGTGCTACTTTGGTATTCCGTGATCCCGGGTGTGGACTCTAATGCAGCCTAAATTACAGAGAGATGGATTAGTTTGTGCTCTAGTTATTTTCAGAGGCTGTATTTAACAAGTTCCCTCTTCACTGCTCCTTACTTTCTGTGCTGGTCTTGAAAGCTTTCATGGGGAAGTTTTTATTTGAAGAGGTTTCTTTATTTCCTTGTATATGAGGATCCATCCTAACACGAGGGGAGAGTACCTAAGTACTCCATAAGGAAACCTGAAACCACTGTCTAGTGCACACACTTAGCTGGGGACTAAATCAGAATACTAGGTCTTAGGTTTCTAAAAAAAAAAGATATTTTCTGGACTTTAAGGCAACTTGAGAAGCCAAAACTGCAAAGAAGAGTCAGCTCACTGTGTGTTCTTTTTTATTATGCATAAGGACCCTTGCAAACTTGGGGAAAAAATTACAAATCAGTACTTGTATTTTAGCTGATCCTAAATCCTAAATGGTGCAACAAATGAGGAGCTTAGATATAGGGTAGCATCGGACGACAGAGACGGGCAGCGGTTTTCTCTGAACTGATCCTCCACAGAAGGAGCTGTGTGTCCCTGCCTGGGCTCTGCACCACAGACCGGCCAGGGAGTGCATTGCAGCTCAGCAGCAGAGGCAGAGAACAGGTTCAGATTGCAGTCTGTAGCTGATGAAAAGATGTTCTTATTGGTTGGTTTGGTTTTTTGTTGTTTTGTTTGTGGTTTTTTCCCTTTTGCTCAGTGTACAGCTGCATGGCCAGCGTTCTGGTTTAGATGTCAACTGCAGATGGTTTCAGTGAATGCCTCGGTGGCTGCAGCGTTAGATACGCTGTGATTTGTTTGTTGTCCCTAGTTAGCGAACGTCTGCGATCCAGGAGGGCTCGGTGTGGCCCCTCCGCCCGCCCTCCATCCTTGTTAACGTGGAGCGGTGGGAAAATAATGGCCCTTGGTGTTTCTCTGGTGGGCAATTCCCGCTGCGATGCCTCTGCAGCCGCTCGGTCCTGTCGGAGCCGTGTCTCTCCTGGGCGCCGTGCGGGCGGTCCGGGGCTCCCGGTCCCGGGCCGGCACTGTCGCTGTTGCCCGGGCAGCGGCCAAGGCGTTCCGCGGCTGCCGCTCGCCCAGGTGAGCGCCGGCTCCTCCCGCTCGCGGGACGCTCCGTGCGGGAGCGCGGCCCGGGGCACGGCGCGTGCGCGCTCCCGGAGCGGCGCGTGCGGGTGCGCGGGCCGTGTCCCCGCCTGACCCCGGGCCGGCCCCGCTGCCCGGGGCGGGAGGCCCCGCACGGCCCGGGCCGCGCGCGGGGCGGGGGTGGGGGCGGCCCCGGCTCCTCCCCCGCGGCGCGCGGCGGGTCCCGCGCGGTCTGGCGGGAGCGCCTTTGTTGGCGCGCGCGGCCGCGGGGGGGCGCTGCGGGGCGCGCGCTCCCGCGGGGCCGCACGAGGCGCGCGGCCGCCGCTGCGGCAGGAAGCAAAGATGGCGGGGCCGGGCCGGCGCCGTGAGGGGCAGCGCGGGGCGCCCGCGATGTGAGGGCGCCGCGGGGGCGGCGGACGGGCCGCCGGGAGCCGCCGCCGGCCCGAGCTGGGGCCGCGTGTAAAGCACTCCGGGTACTGCAGAAATACCGCTGCTCCTTAATAAAAAAATCGGAGGTGTCTTGCCTGCCTTTGTGACCACAACTTATGTTCTGCAATTTGATGTTTTTTTAGGTTCTAACAGAAAACAAAAGGCCTCAGAGGAGGAAGCAAAGAGTTTTAAAGGTAACCGATGATTGCTTTGATATTTATCCCCTCCCGTTTTGAGCAGCATTTTCGTGTCATACAGCTCAGGAAGCCCAAGGGTTAAAGGCTGGGTAGCGGCGCTTTCCAGCTATTCAGCAGATTAGCTAATTTTAAAAGCACAGAACATGTCCTTTCGCTCCTCTCTCTCTCTCTCTCCAGCATGTTGTAGACATATTTGAACCCTTCTGCACAAGTCTGCATACCAAAAGTTTGCTTTCCATCGCATCGAATTAAATCCTTTAATTTCTCTGTTCCTAGTTTCATACTTCCAAAGGTAACAGGCAAATGTTTTTAGCATACAGGTTTTATGGCATCTGAAATATTATGCGAGAAGTCAATGTTATAATGCAAGCCGAGTTAACAAAAGTGGAAATTTTTATGCTTACTCTACTGTAGTTTTGATTTCCTTTCTTCCATTAAACTTTAAAACACCTCAGCTGAAACTGAAAATTCTGTGTACTTGAAACAACCTCCAGTTTCACATGGTAACATGTTCCTTCCACACTCTTTTAAGATGGCTATCCCTTATGATAACAAAAGACTGGCGTTTCAAATGGAAATGTCTTAGGTTTTATAACAAAACACAGACTTGCTACACTCATGGCTGATTTTTTTAAAAAAGAAGTAACAGGTAGCACATTGATATTGCATCTTTCAGTTAATCTTTAGAATATTTTGAATAGAAATAAGTTGTTAATTGTGTTGTTGCAAAGTAACATGTTGGAGGGTGGGGTGGTGCAAGTGAAATGGATGGTATGTGATGAGGTGAAGGTAAGGAAAATGAGAAAAAATGTATGTTAAACTTTGTTGAACTCTTTTACCAGCTAAATGTAATATAGTTTAGTGTTGTCTTAGTACACTAAAATTTCAGAAGTTACTGGGCATGGTGGATTTGATAAATTTTGAATGGTCTGTAGTGTAATTTTACTTGAAAACATCCCAATATCTTACCAGTTTTGTTGTCACATTTACACATGACAGAAACGTCGGTGAGACAAACCAAAGTTAAGATGAAGTAAGGAGCGGATAACCTTATTTGACTTGCATGTATGCCCAACCTCAAGGGCGTCCATCTCTTCCTGTGGGAGTAGTAGTGCAAACCTGTATGCTGACAGTAATTGTGGTTGTACAACACTAGCAAGTGCTTTTTGTTCTTGCAGTAAGTACATTAATCCATTAAAAACATGAGCATTTTCATTATGTTTTGGGTATGCTTTTAATTAGTGCTGCTCTTGTCCCATAGTGCGTAGGTGTAGCTCAGACTCGGAGCACTTGCTCATTCTGGTTTGGGCAGTTGATGGTAGGATGCAAAACGAGGGGTGTTTGTAAATGAGCTGTTCAGTGTGTAGAGTGTTGTTGGAGTGACACCTGCTCTGTTCAAAGGTGCAGAATGTGTTTGTTTTGGTCACAGCCACGCAGGTTGTGCTGGGTGTCTGTCTGCAGTTGGGGTTCAGAGCTGCGTCTTTAGGTTTTCCTCTGGACTCGACCTTGCCTCTGTTTGGGATTTGATGGCCCAGCAGGTTGCTATGTAATATGATGCTGCTGTTCCTCTCCTTTCCAGAAAGCCTTCTGAAGAGTTTTTTCCCCCTTGCCTCGAGTGGAAAGGCTTGGCTGGTGCTGGGTGTGTGCACAGTATCCATGTCAGCCGTTGGACTTGGCTTTATTTCTGGTTTGACTTTTCCTTTGCTGAACTGATTCCACAGTATTTCCTCTGGTTTTAGGTGCTGTTCTTGGTGTTTGCTCGTATTTGTCTTTGTTTGGTGATGCTGAAGTGTATTTCCTAAGAGTTGGTTCACTTGCATCCACTGAACAAGGCACGGTACCTCTCAAGGCATCTCCTTGGGTTGGGGTTGGTTTTTGGAGGGGAGGAAGGAGTTTGGACATTTGAAGTTACATCCCAGCTCTGACAGCTGCAGTGAACTTGAAGAAAAGCCACATAACTTCCAGAATTCTTTACTAGGGCATTTTTAAAAATGTGACGTTCTGGTCTGTGACTCTAACCTGGCTTCTGTTCTTGCTAGGACTGCCATGTGAAGGGGTATTGTCTTACCTGTTGAATTATAACTCAAGTGTTTGATTTAATGATTGGTAGTGACTGAGGGCATCTGACCAGTGATGCTTTCAAAATATCAACACAATATCCTTTTTTTTCTTTCTATTTTCTTCAAGTAGTGTTCTTAACTTTCCTAAGGAGGAGTCTGTAATATTTTCTTCCAGTAATACATGTAGTTAGTATTTTTTCTAATCCTCTTAAGTTTTGATAGAGACACATTTATTTACTTGGAGGGCTCATGTTCTTTCTAATTGTGCTGCTTAGGACCAGCATATCCCCAAATTCTGTACAGGCTCAAAACAAGCAGTAGTTTCCTGCTGAAAATGGGTTGAACACATAGAGAAGACTAAAAGTGATACATACTATTATGCTGTATATTTTGTTTTCTCTTTACACTTGTGTTTTAATGCTCCTTTCTGGTCATTGGAGGAGTCATTTAGGAAATTTTTTCATGCCGTAAATACTGCATTAAGTTCTCCATGTTTATTTTGAAAGAACATGTGAAATATTTATCACTTCTAGCAAGCAAGTGCTCAGTGAAGAAAGTCTTTGTGAGCTCATAGTAGTGGATAGGAAGGAAGGAATATACTTCGTTTTCTTTGGGGTTTATATTGTGGGTTTTTTCAGACACTACTTTAATTTTATTCCTGGTAATGGAAAATCTATATGGAAGGGATTCATACTTAAAAATTCATTTGCCTGCATTTCCGAAGGGTTATTGTACCCCCTGCTTTATTTACCATCTTTCTTTTAGCCCCTCCCTGGTGTCCTGGCTCAGTTTGGGCAGGGCAGGGCACCTCCCCTTAACGGTGGGGAAGTGCTTGCAGTCACTTGCAAGTTCATCAACACAGAGCTCCGAGGAAGGGGACAGTTGCCCGGGGCATCGTGTTGTCAGGGAATCCACACTCACCACGAGTAGGCAGCAGTGGCACCGGTAAGGAAACCTCCCACAGATCAGGAGACAGGGAAATGCAGCCCGGGCTCTTCCAAAGCACTCTGTACAGCCAGGACTGCCTTTGGGATGGCTGGGGGTGTTTGCTGCCCTGATGGAGAGCTGAAAAAAAACAAATAAGAAGAAAATAAAAGGGAGGAAAACAGAAGGGAAGAGATCCAGAATTAAATATGCAGTGCTAAGTGAGTTTTGTGACTGCAAGGCACAGTCTTTGTTCTCTGCCTGCTTCTGTTTATGCATAAACACTGCAACGGTGACTGAGGGGCCAGGAGAGTGCAACGATGCTCAGGCTCCGTTAAATCCCTGCACTTTAAGATGAGCCAAAAGCCAGAGATGACTCAGTATCTAAAACTTTTGGGTTGTTTATAAACATCAGATTAAGAACAGTAAAAGTTAAACTTCAGTCGGAGCTGCAAATAGCTGCTTGAGCACCCTCTTAATTTTTCTCCTCCACACATGAAAAGCATAGTTTTTCTTGTAAAAAAACAACTTTAAAACAAAGCTGACTTGGCAGACCTGCTGTTGCCCTTTTTATGATGCACTTTTAGTTTTGCTGCTTAAAGAAACTAAAAATACACCTTTTTTTTTTTTGTCAAGGTCATATATGTGTTAACAAGGTTTAAGAAAGTAACTGCTAGAGTTCATGACAGTGCTTTGAGTGAGCAAGGATTGAAGTGATTTTGAACATTTATTCTAAGTTATAGTGTATGTTTTTAGTGCAGAATATCTGCCAAAATATTTAGCTGGAAGAAATGAAAGTTTATTACTTTTTTCCCCTTTAAACTGAGATGAGCAAGTCAATGAATGGAATTGCACTGCTGTGGAATTTTGGAGGGAGGGAAGACAGAATGGTGCAATACAAATTGGAAAGGATGTTGTCCATATTTGTTTTGGGTTTTTTTTGAAGGGACAGTATCACCTTGGAGCACCTTCCTTCAGTAAATACCAATTAAAATTGCTTCGAGTCCCGGTTGACAGGGTCTGCCTACTTTTTATGTGTCTTTGTGCTCCCATTTTTTGAATAGAGAGAGCTTACTTTTGGTATTGGAGGGTCTGACACAAATCAGTAAATTTTATTTTTAACCGTAACATAAATAACTTAGCTGTTACCCAGCGCTTTTTTTAAAATAAGTTATATTTCTTTGAAAGAAATGTTCTTATCTTGACATTTTTCCAGCTGGGTGTGTGCCTGTCTAAATGGGATTCAATTTTTTTGCTCATGTGAACGTGTGGAGCACTTGCATGTCTGTAGAGGTGTTTTGAATAGAGTTCTAACAAAGAGCCCTTGTGAGTGGTCTGTAAATTATTAATCTTACTCTAGTAATTTTCTAATCCTTAATTTTTCCAGCCGGTTTGTGGTGCAGTTGAAGCCCCTCCCTTGTGCACTTTTGCTGTGGTGCAGAGTAAGCAGGACAGATGAAGGGGTGCTGTCCTGCCCTGCTCCTGCACAGCTCCCTTGCTCCAGTGCTGCTGTCTGTCCCATCCACCTCCTCCTCACAGCCCTGTGCTGCTCTTTGCCCCACAGCTCCCAAAATGCTGAGGGGAGGAAGGGACACTGTCCTGTGGGAGGGGGACAGGGAGGAGGAAGGGTTTGTTTTGGAATCCTCTGTTGCTGTGGCAGAGCAGTTGTGAGGATGGTGCCTCTCCCCAGGGAATAGGGGGGCACAGCAGTGTTGGGTGAGGCCAGGCTGAACCTTGTGATGACAGTGCTTTTAGAGGGGTTTGCACGCCTTGAATGGCTCCTTTTTTCTAGATCTGGATTTCCATGCTGTGTTTGAGTGCAGTGCTGGGCCTTCCACCTTACTGCATTTAGAGATGAAGCTTCTTGAAAAGGTAGAAAATGTGTTTGTGATCCAAAATACCATTAAATATCCAGTAAACACAACACAGATCGTGGGAAGGAAGGAAAACACACATGTGGAGATGGAGGTCTGTTGTGTAGGTATATTAATACCTTATTTAGATTTCTTAACG